CTGTCTGTTTGGTGTTCTATATGCTTCTTGTATTTGTATGGGCATGTCTTTCTTTAATTTTGGGAAATTTTCTTCATCCATTGTGTTGAAGATCTGGTCTATGCCATTATCCTATATGCCTATGATTTGTAAGTTTGGTGTTTTTATGCTGTCACACAATTCCTACATATTCCATTCTTGTGGTTTCTTAAATTTTTCATAATCTTTGCTTGAGTGGTCTAGTTCGTCCACTTTATCTTTTAGTCTTCATACTCTGTTTTCCATTTTGTTCATCCCATTGGTGAGGCTTTCTCCTGTTGTTTCTAATTGGCTTACTGAATGTTTCACTTCCTTCTTCATTTCAGCCTGAGTCGACTTCAATATTTCTAGCTTTTTCTGCATTCATTCAGAAGTTTATCCCTATCTTCCTTCAGTTCTTTGATTTCTTTGTGTGTTCTTTAAATTCACTGAATTCTTTTATCATGTTTATAATTGTTCTTTTGATTTCCATGTCCTGCATTATCTCTAGGGGGTTCTCATTGTACTCCTGTAGAGGACTATTGGTATTTGGTGGGTATATGTTATTTTGGTTTTTCATGTTATTTTCTTCTATGTGATTTTTGTCATCTGAATTTCTTTTGTAGTTTCTGATTTTTGTGTGAGACTCAAGCCTTCAAGTTTAGGTCTGCTTCTTTTTGTGAACTTTATGTGTCTTTGTGGTTTACTTTTTGGGCATGAAAAGCTGGTTTGGCTAAGCTTCCACTTCTCTCTTTTGATTTTACATTGCAGTGGCCAGATTGCTTTTGTCTTCAGGAATTCCCACAGAGGCCCAAGTCAGATGAGGATCAGATGCTCTCAGGCTTTCTCTTAAGGTCTGGATCCCTCCAGGAAAGATTTTGGCTTCAGGAATTTGGGGCTGGACTGGCCTGGGGAGCAGGACCCAGGAAAGATGCTAGTCTAGGGTAGGTGGTGGCCGTGCCACCCAGAGATGCAGAGGGAGATGGGGGCAGGAAGAGGCCCCAAGGGCTCCTTGGGATTGCCCTGAGGAACTGGGTTGGTTTGGTTGCAACGGAGCTGGCAGCGGCATGGTCAGTCCTGGAGTCCAGGAAAAAGGCTGGTGGTTTGTGCATCCCAGGGAAGCAGAGGGAGGTGAGGGCGGGGCCAGGCCCAGAGGGCTCCTGGGGACCCCAGAAGGAACTGTGTTGGTCATGATGCAAAGGATCAGGAAGCAGTGGTGGTTCCCCAGGTGTGGGGCACCGAAAAAACGAATGGTACAGGTCCCAGGCTAGGAGAGATGGGCTGGTATAAGGATGTGTGTATGTGTGTATGTGGCTGGGGGGAGTCAAGGCGCGGAGGGCGCGATGGACTTCCCAGGAGAGAGGCCTGCAGGTCGTGCGTACTTTTTCCTTTTTTTCATGATGTATAAAGGGAAGTTAGGCAGACTTAAACAGGTTATCAAAGACTTTTTTGACTTTTCACTCTATATAGTTTTTTGTTTTGTTTTATTTTTTAGAGACAGGGTCTCCCTGTAGCCTCAGCTGTCCTGGAACTTGGTATATAGATCAGGCTGATTTCGAACTCACAGAGATCTGCCTGCCTCTGCCTCTTGAGTGCTGGGACTAAAGGCTGGAGGCCCAGCTTGACTTTATATTTCTTAAGAATATGTAACTTTATAGCTATTTTTATAGCAGATTAGATGTTTTGAAACTGTTGCCTTTGCCTTTCAGAAGAACAGATTGGCATCATGTCCTGGCCCTATCTAATAAAACATCTTGTTCTTGATAATTCTATTCAAGATGAATGGAGCCTTAGTGAAATGTTTTATTGTACATATTGTACAGTTTTCCATTTAGTTTACTTGAGATACTGTATGTGTGTGTGGTAACTAGTTTTATTTATCTTTAAGGAGAAAGAAGGACATTCTGCACGAACTCTTGGCTTCTAGTTTTCTTTTATAGCCATTTCTATTTTCTTACTGGCAACAGATTCACTTGCAGGTTACTTTTATGTTGACTTGGTGCTATGTTTATGTATTTTAAATTTTTATTTTTATTTTATGTGTATGAGTGGTTTGGCTGCATTTTAGTAAGTGCACCCATGAATGCAGTGCCCACGGAGACCAGAAGAGCAATGGATGCCCTGGAACTGGAGTTACAGATGGTTGTTGGTCATCATGTGCATGCTGGGAGCTGAATCTGGCCTCTCTGCAAGAGTCGCCAGCCCTCTTAGTTGCTGAGCCATCTCTCCAGCCCTAGTACTAGGTTTTTAATGCATTTATTGAACATGCCTTCGATTACCTCATGTGTGTTAGCACTAGTGATGTACCTAGAAACAAAGTTCTGTTCTCTTGGAATTTGTATTTTTTGGGTTTGTAGAATTGACCTATAATAATTCTCTTGCTTTTGTCAGAGCTTTAAATGGGGAAATGTGTGAGATATACCTTCCTTTTTTATATTACATGTAATATTTATTAAGAGAAAATATGTGTAAAATGTTAACCTTTAAAATGCACAAATTTCTGATAATTCATAGTCTACATGTACTATTTAATATTAAGATTTTATTGCAGTTTGAACTCATTGCAATTCAATAATTTGAAAATTGTATCTGATTTTTTTATTATATAATTTTTCAATGAAAATGTTTTTTGTTCTTTGTAAATAATCTAGTAGCATGTATTTTTTTTTTTCTAGGCAGTTTAGATATATACACATTTTGATGATTTAAGGATAAGTTGGAATTCTTGGAAATGTTCTAACTCTTCTATGAGTTTGTGCTGTTCTCCGCTCTATACCAGTAAAACATTATGTAGTCTAATCTAGTACCAGCCTTAGATATGTGTTTACCATTCAAACTAGTGTGGAGGTGAGGCAGGTCAGTGTATGCAGACAATCACTGTAGTCTTTCCAGGCATCATTCAAGTGGTACTTATTAGGAAATCTTGGAAATTATAGAACTGCAATATCCCTGATAACATAGGAAGATGACATACATGTAGGTAGGCACTGTTGAATCTCTCCTTTGATCAAGTTTTCTAAGCATCATTCTTTGTGTATGATAAGTGGGATAGCATTCTAAAGACCTTGAATAACAAGACAGTATGATATATCTTATGATATAACATTAAATAAAAGTTTTTTTTTTAATTTTAGAGGTATCACGTGCATATATGTGTTAAATTTTGAAAGCAAAGTAGTATTTTATGTTAAAAACTTTAAGTAGAATCATTAATAAGATACTTTTAATATTGTTTTGTAATCTTTTTTAAAAAAATATTTATTTTTATTTTATGTGTATGTGAATTGCCTGCATGTGTGTAAGTACACCCATGTTGTGCAGTGCCCGTGGAGGTCAGAGGAGGGCGTTGGATCCCCTGGAACTGGAGTTATGGACAGTTAGCTGCCATGTGGATGCTGGGATTCGAACCTGGGTCTTCTGCAAGAACATTCAGTGTTCTTAACCACTGAGCCATCTTTCCAGCCCCTGTTTTGTAATCTTTATAAATAGTTAATCTTTAAGTTGCTTGTTAACAATTTTGATAGACTTCATGACTCTGTGGTTTTAGCTTTTGCAAATATACCACAAATTCAGAAAATGTTGGATTTTTATATAGCTATGGTTTGGATTGAACTCTTAGTTCTAGAAAATTTAGTGGGTCTAGTTATGCTGCTTAGTAGAGTGCTTATCTAGTTTACATGATGCTCTGTGTTTAACCCTCAGATGAATAAACTGGACATGGTGGCACATGCCTATAACTCTAACATTGGGGAGGTAGAAGCAAGTAGATTAGAAGTTCAAGGACACCCTCAGTTACATTGTGAGTTTGAGGCCAGTTTGAGGATACATGAGACCCTGTCTTCAGAAAAAAAAAAAAGATAGTTAATTTAGCAAGTTGATTGTATTAGTTTTTTTTTTTTAACTTTTACGAAAACTTTATTGAGAATTTCATACATGCATATAAGGTGTTTTGATCAAATCCATGCCTACTCCCTCCCCTCCAACATTCCCCCCTCTGAAGAGGTAACTCTAAAATCTTTTAAGGATTAGATACAAGCTCCCAGATACTTTTGACATTTTTGGCCTTTGGAACAGAGTATGATTGTATTAGTTTTTAAGCTTTTACACTTGTTATTTACATCCTTATTCCCTTCTCCTTTGTTTTGCAAAGTGTCTTTAAAAGTTGTTTTGACTTACTTATTTTTATGTGTCTGAGTGTTTTGCCTACATGATGTGGTAAGGGCACCACATCATGCAAAGGTGCGGAAACCAGAAGAAGGCATCAGATTCCCCAGAACTGGAGTTAAAGATGGTTGTTAGCTACCATGTGGATGTTGGGAACCAAACCTAGGTCCTCTGCAAAATCAGCCAGTGCTCTTAACTGCTGAGCCTTCTCTCCTGCTTGAGTGTCTTATCTGTTTAATCATGCCAGTGTTATTCTTTTATCAGTATGCTTGCCTTCACTATCAGTTTAGTCTAAAGTATTTACAAAAAAAGTAAAGAAGTAAATGTATTTTTTGTTGTTGTTAAGGGATTCTTAAAAGAATTTTCCTGTTATTTGAATTAGAAAAGATGAATGTTTGCTGAAATTTGCTCTATAGTTGGTGTCTGGATAGTTATTTGATAAGTCTTATCTCTTGGAATACTGTGAGGTAAGTGTAATAATCTCCATGGTACAGATGAAGAAACTTAGAGATGTTCAGTTATTTGCCCCAGACGATACAGTTAATACCATGTTAGTGCTGCTATTTGAATTCAGCCTGCTGCCAAAGCCATGATCTTTTTAACAAAGTTTATATTTTATATAGGGATAGCATCTTTTGATTTGTATATGATAGGATAACTTTTAAAACCATTCTCTTTAGGAAAATGTTTGCTGCCATTTCTAATGTAGGTGGAAGCTAGTAATATGAATGTAGTGATTCCGTGGCTTAAACAAATTTCTGTTAGGCAGACAAGAAGAGCATTTTAACTACCTTTTAAAAAGGTGAACAAAAAAATTTGCCCCGCTTCTTGTTTTTAAGATGCTCCAAGTCATAGAAATGGGAAAAGCAAATGGTCATTCCTGTTCAGTTTGGCAGACCTGAAATCAATCAAGCAAAGCAAAGAGGGTATGGGCTGGTCGTATTTGGTATTCTGTCTGAAGGATGACGTCGTCCTCCCTGCTCTGCACTTTCATCAAGGAGATAGCAAACTACTGATTGAGTCTCTTGAAAAATATGTGGTATTGTGTGAGTAAGTACCAAATTATTTTCTACTTATTGAAACTGGATTGTTGTATTAATCCCAAAGGAAACTATTTGTACTTGTCATTGGGCATCAGTGACCTGTGTGTGTATGAGGCCATTAGCTTCTTTATTTTTCTTTACTACAGTTTTTGATTATTAATTGAATGACATTTTGCTATTTTAGTATTTTGAATCTGAGAGTTTATAGCTTATTTTAATTTTTTTATTATGTGTGTATGTTTACACATGTATGGGTGTGTATATGCCATGGCATGTGTATGGGGTCAGGACAACCTGTGAGAATTGGTTCTCTCCTTTTACCATGTGAATCCCTAGGACCTACTCAGGTTGTCAAGTTTGGCAGCAAGTGCCTTTATCCTCTGAGCCATCTTGCTGGCTCCATGTTAGTTTTTAAAGGAAAATTAGTCCAATATTCAGTAATGAATCCTTCATTAATTATGAATTACATATTTATTAATTTACCTTTTATTATGTGTTTTCAAAGTTAAATATATGGTTTTATCTGTAAGGTCAGAAATGTAAGCCAGGCAAATCTGCATCCTTTTATAAGCTGTAAGTTGGAAAACAAGACTTCTCACTCTGCAAGTCTTTGTTCACCTGTCCGTAACTGAACACACTCCCTTTCTTGGTTTTACTCTCAACAAATAGTTTTTGAGTATCACTTTGAAAGCACTGCACTGATTGCTTGATACTCAGTTGTGAGTAAAACAGGCTTGTTCCTGGACCTCTGAGAATTTATGATGTTATGAAGATGACAAGTAAATGACAATTAAAAGTAAAGAATGAAGGTGAAGGAAGTACAGTATATTTTGGGAATGTGCAGGGAGGGGTATGTAATTTAGAGTGAGAGGGTGGTGATCAGGGAAGAGTCTCCAAAAGGAGTTTCTAAGTTGAAAATGGAAAGTGGTGAGTGATAAGCGTGCAAGGAAGGAGCTATTTATCAGGAGGGATGAATGTTTGAGATGGAGGGGAGAGTGCAAACATGCTATAATCACAGCAGTATTACAGGTCTGGAGAGAGTGGGGAAGGGAGAGTTCCAAGCTTACAGATGTGGCCAAAGAGCTGAGTATATGCTAGAGCATGAAGGGTCTTGTAAGCCACACTAGCAAGTTCTAGTTATCCACATTAGTTAAGGTGGCCTGCTTTAGGAGAGTGACAGGTAAGATAGAGTTGTTGGAGAAGTACTTAGTATTGGATTTTGTAATCAGTTGGATATATGGAAATGAGAAGGGAGAGGTAGAGATTTTTGCCTTGAGAGAACTGAGGGAAATGATTGTTAACTTCATTAACAAATTTTCTCACTTTATAGTAGTGTCAGTACCTTGCCAAATTTAGATTACGTTAGACTGAGAGTGACTCAAAAGGTGGAAGATTTTGATCATGTGTTTTCTGGCTTGCGGTTCTCCCTGTGTTGATCACCTCTGGCTGGGATTAAGTGTATTGTTCCATGCCAGTAAATTTAAAAAGGTAGGCCTGGTTGTAGCTTGAATAGACTGTTGACAGGGTAATTGGATTTCAGGTAAGGCAGTATCATTATTAGAGAAAAAGTTAATGACTGTTTAGTAATCAGACATTAAGACTCAGGAGATTTTGTACCATAGTTCAGTATTAATTATCTGACATCACTCACAAGAGAGATCCTTTGGTATAAGATTGTTGATGAAAGTATCATATTTTGAAGGAAGTATGTTAATAACCCTCTACTCTGTACTAGTAATGTCAGACTTTGGAGATGTACACTTGTTTTTGTTTTTGTTTTTTTTTTTTTTTTGAGAAGGGTTCTTGCTCTGTAGCCTGGGTTAGCCTTGAACTTGGAATTCTCCTTCCTCAGCTTTCAGAGTTGACCTTGGATTCATTAGTGTCCTGCCTCTATGTCCCTGGTGCTGGGATTACTGGTGTGAGTGACAGGTCTATTTATATTTTAAACTTCATTACAAGCCATTCTGCCTTTTATTCTAACCACATGGTTTGAGTTCCTGAAATCTCCTAAACTCACTCTTATCTTCAGGTTATTTACATATACTGTTCTGTTTGGATGATTCTCCTCTTTTTCAGGTCTCAATGTTATTTCTCCAGAGGGACTTACTAGATACCCCCTTTCCCATACAATGCACTATCTATCTTCATTCACTCCTTCCTGTCTCATTTTCTTGATGGCGCTTAAGAGCCTAAAATAATTTTGTCTTTTGTGTTCTCTAGACAGTAAGCTTCATATAGACAGAGGTAGCATCTTGGCTTTCATTTTTTCCCAGTTCATACTTGAATGCTGGGTACATAATGTACAATTAAAGTTGAATAAATAAATGGCATGGCAATTATCAGCTTGATTTATACTTTTTTTTTTTTGGTCTTTTTTGAGACAGGGTCTTCCTGTAGCACCAGCTGACCTAGAACTCACTCTGTAGACCAGGCTGGCCTTGAACTCACAGAGATCTACTTGTCTGTGCCTCCCAAGCGTGGGTCTAAATGTGTGTGCCACCTCACCTGACCCTGGATAAGTCTTAAAAAGTGTCAACAACCACTTAGGCAATTGAATGCATTTTGGTGGCCTTTTAGTAAAAGTATTACTGCTGGGTGTGGTGGTGCATGCCTTTAATCCCAGCACTTGGGAGCCAGAGGCAGGCAGATCTTTGTGAGTTGAGGCCAGCCTGGTCTACATAGTGAGTTCCAGGATAGCTGGGGCTACAGGGAGACCCTGTCTCAAAAAGACAAAAAAAAAAAAAAAAATGTCAACAACCACTTAGGCAATTGAATGCATTTTGGTGGCTTTTAATCAAAGTAAGTGAAGCCTAGTTTCCTTTTATGGATTTGTAAACAGATAACAGTATAAGAAGCAGAGGTGGTGGTGAAACATCTCAGCCAGATGTAAGCATGTGGTCTCATAGTTTACCTCAACTCATTTTTGAGCTCACTCAGTTCTTGCCACTTACGTATATATCTCTGTTGAGGCCAGGTAATTGCCATGTGAATGGATGCAGAAGTAAAATCACATTCTCTGTTGGTAGGCAGATCAAAGAGCATAAGGAGCCTGGAAAGAGTTACATCAACCATGCATTTTATTCTTTCCTTATCTCAGCAGACAGGTCTCCAGGAAGGCATGTTCTAGTTTGCTTCTTTTGGATAAAACACTGACCAAAAGCAACTTGGGGAGGAAAGGGTTTACTTTACCTTACAGTTTATAATCCATCATCAATGGAAGCCAAGGGGGTGTGTTCCTCCTTTCTTGTCCTTGGAATTGTTACTTCAAGCAAAATGATGTTTTCAGAGGCATATGTCCCTGTGATCAAAAATCAGAATACAAAGAATATTGAAGGAAAACCTTGGTTTCAGTCTTAGTGGAATGCCAACCAATATATGCATGTGGTGAACCTTCTGGGTTTAAGATATCAGGGGTTTTATTGTTCTTTTTGCTTTCAAATTAAATTAAACTTAAGAATGTGGCTTGTACCTTTCTATATTGTTCTGTATTAGTGACTGTTCTTGTGGAAGTGACTAAATAACTGGCACAAGCAGCTTAAAGAAAGAAGGACTTCTTTTGGCTCCCAGATGAGAGGCTGCATTCCTGTGCAGGGACGCCGTGGCAGTTTGTCGAGACAAGAGCATGTAACTAGGACTCCTCACATGTAGGAAGATCAGGAAGTAGGAAGTAGAGATGAATAATGCTGCTGTTGCCTTTTTTTTTTTTTTTTTTTTTTTTAAATTCAGTCCAGTTCTCAGTCCACAGAATGGTACAACTCACATTCAGGGTGAGTCTTCCCAACTCAGTTACACCTCTGAAAACACCTTCATAGACAGGTTCCTGAAGTTTGTCCCCTAGGTGATTTTAAATTCTACCAGGTTGACAAAGGAGATTAACTATCTCATCTTCCTAACAAACCCATTAATGATTGTTTTCTTCCCCACTGAGCAGGCCTTCTACTTAGGGAACAAAGGCCTTCCATATGGATAAGCAGAGAATGCCAGTGATTTTGGGACAGCCTTAGAGGAACCAGGAAGATGCCAGGCTGGCTATGTATAATTTCTCATTTCAGTCTCAGTAACCTGATCAGTTAGTCCATTCAAAATAGCCCAGTTTCTTCATGCTTAATATTTATTTCTTTTTTCTTTTTTCTTTTTTTGGTCTTTTTGAGACAGGGTCTCCCTGTAGCCCCAGCTGTCCTGGAACTCAATACATAGACCAGGCTGGCCCTGAACTCACAGAGATCCTCCTCCTCTGCCTCCCAAGTGCTGGGATTAAAGGTGCGCGCCACCACACTAGGCCCAATATTTCTTTTTTAAAAAAATGTTTTTATTATTTTTTGTGTATGAGTGTATTGCCTACATGTGTGTTATTACACCCATGTCATGCGGTGCACTTGGAGGTTAGAAGGAGGCATTAGATCCCCTGGGGTGGTTGTTAGTCACCATGTAGGTACTGGGAATCGAACCTGGGTCCTTTTCAAGAGCAATCAGTGCTCCTAACCTCTGAGTCATCTCTTCAACCCGTGCTTAATATTTCTTAAATGGTTTTCTTATCTTAGGTAACCAGTATTATATTAATTGATATTCTCAGTGTTCTTTTATATATCATTATTAAGGCATAATATCACACTTGGGTAAAAGAATGTAGCTGTTACATTGGGGACGAGAAGTCACTGATTACCAGTACACAGCCACAAAAATTTTCCTCGGAAGCCAAAGTGTTTGCTAGGATGTAAGTGAGGCCTTTTAGTTCCATTGAATTGTTTTCCACATCACCTTGTTTTTACATTAATGTGTGAATATCCAAGCAGTAAAATAATAGTTTCCTTAAAAAGCCAGATTGGTTGTACCATTTCCAAGATTTGTTTCTATATATAAAACTTTGTTGCTGTGAAT